ACAAAACGTCAACTTAGAAAAATACAAAGGCTCAAACAAATTAGAACTAATAAGGCTCAGTATGTTTGCCAGACACAAGATCTCCCTGCACAGATCAACAGCATCTCTCCCCCTACTACAAGAGCCGCTAGGAAATATTACTAAAAAGATACCGTTTACAACAGCAACAGGAAGGAATTCCCCAGGGGTCCATTGGTTAGGACTCTGTGCTTCCATCCCCGGTCGAGGAATTATGATCCCACAAGCTGCCCGGCCAAAGAACAACAACGGCAACTGGAATTACAAAATATCTGGGGGTTAACCGAGAACATCCAAAACTGCTATACAAAAATTTTTAATTCTAATAAAGGAAACAGAAAATGACCTGAGTAAATAGAGCACATTCCATGCTTTTGGACTGGATGCCCGAATGTAGGATGACTTGTCTTGGATGACTCTATAAAGACCTAATTGAATTCATGGTCAACCTACAAATTCAGGGCACTCCCACTCAAAACTCCAGTTGGATTTCTTTTTGAGGAATAATAAATAAAGAAAGAAATAATAATGTTTCTAAAAGAAGAGTAGAGAAGGGAGACTTGCTCAATCAAACACGCTGCAGACGCATAGCAGTACAGCATGGTACTGGCTCAGCGACACACAGACCAGTGGGGCAGAGTAGAAAACACGGCAACACATCCGTGGACCGTATGTGTACACATACATATCGAAATGTCACATAATGTCACACCTTCTCAATGGAGTTAGCCCCAAGTTAAGGTTTTGTTGGGATCTTCTGCTCTCCTGCTACCATGGTAACAAGTAGGCCTGAGGAACAGCCTTGATAACAGTACCTTGAGGTCCCTGCATGACTCAAAATGAACTACATGAAACTGGCTCTGGGGTGAGGACAGCCCTTAACGTCCTACAGGCTTAACATTCTAGAGCTGCCCTCCAAAGTCAGCAGCAGCGACAAGATGCGAGGCGTAAGAAGCGGCGGAGGCATGCAGAGCTGAGGCAGGGCAGCACACGAAGCCACAGGGTGTCAGCTCTCCCCACGTGAAAAGCATTGTTCCGCTAACGAGAAGGTGAGCTCCACCTGCCAGAGGAGCCGGAGGCCAAGCTGAAAAGGAGATGGATTGAGTCTGAGCCAAAAGACAGATTCCACAAAGCAGCCCCATCCTGAGGGTCCAGCAACTTTTACTCCAGCTAATCCATTCAGCTCTCCTGTATCCCTAAAAGCACCAACAACTTTAAGAAAACTATGGCATCAAAAGAAAATCTCATATCTTGTGTTTCCATTCTTTTTACTTGTCACTCATTTAGTATTTCTGGGAAATAACACCCTTTCCTTCTGTTTTAGGCAGGATTAATCTAGGTTGTACCGTGGCAGCAAACGAGCCCCAAATCACAGAGGCTTATATCTTGATAATTGTTGAAGTGAAAGCAATGGGTAGAGCAGGTTCGACATCCTATTGTCTCTGCTTTCATATGTTTGAAGTTTTCCATAATAAACATTTTTTATTTAATCTCCATGGCTTAAAACAACAAAAATTTGTTTCTTGCTCCTACTACACACCCATCATGGATCAGTCAGCTCTCTACTCCCACTTTGTCCTCGCTGAGAGGCACAGACTAGTGAGCTTCTGCTATCCAGGGTATTGCTGGTTACATGGCAGAGGAAAAGAACCGTGGGAGGAAAAGAACCATGGGGGAGTCATCTCATGGTGCTTAAGGCTTTTGCCCGGGAAGTGAAATATATCACGCTATCGACATTTCATTGATAAGGCAAGTCACACGGCCACACTTAACTTCAGTGGCTTAGGAAAATATGGCCCACCTATACACTCAGTAGAAGGAGACCTGGAAATACTTGGTGAACAGCACTAACGATTACCACAGCCCTGAAGACGTGAATCTAGGAATTAAAGGCCAAAAGGCACTCTGATACACCATAGTTTTTACCAATGGATTTCAACACCACTCTGCCAACCCTCGCCGCCCAAATGCTCGGCCTTCTCACTTGTGATAAACCACTCAAAATTATACCAAGACTGGGAGTTCCACAATGTCAGGGACAGTTTATCTGTCTTTACCTCTCCAACACAGAGCACCTGTTTTGTCTTTACCAGGTGCTATAAATTCAGATTTGCTGAACTGAAGAGACACTGGAGACAAGCCGTGTGAACAACCGGCATTCCCTTACGGGACCTATTTCTCACCTTTGTTCTTACTTTTAATAAATTCTGTCTTAGGACATTCCCAGGCGGAGCAGGGAGGGGCTGCTGCTTTTCTAGGCCACTGGGCTTTTGAGGTGATCCTAGGTGGCCAGTCTTTGTCGGCCAAGAGCCCTGAGCTTGAACGCACCAATGTCAATCCCGAGACCCCTTCAACCTCGGGATCACCCCACCCAAAAGCCCGCATCTTATGGGTGAGGAAACGGAACCTCCGAGAAAGTAATGATTTCTATTTGCTGTAAGCGTCTATGGCCTGCAGTGCGCTCGGTGGTCCCACAGATCTGTCTCTTGCTTCAACAGTGTTTGGGTGGAACACACCCGTAGATGCCCCTTCTCCCAGCCCCCGGCCACCCTCCAACTTCTTTTCCAGTGGCAACCTTTGGAACCAACCAATTAGACATCCTCTGCCCACCTCCCCGGACCAGCCAACACCATTTTTTGAGCTTAGCTCCTTATTGCCGATCAACCATGAGCCCCGGGATTCATCAGAATTATTCTGCCAAGGTGGAGGCCGCCGTCAACCACCTGGTCAACACATATCTGTGGGCTTCCCACACCTACCTCTCCCTGGGCGTCTGTTTCGACAGCGACGATGTGGCTCTGGAGGGCCTGGGCCACTTCTTCCTCGAGTTGGCAGAGGACAAGCGCAGGGGCACTGAGCATCTTTTGAAGATGCCAAACCAGCTCAGAGGCTGTGCCCTCTTCCAGGATATGCAGAAGCTGTTCCAAAGATGAGTGGGGTAAAACCCAGACGTCATGGAAGCCACCATGGTCGTGGAGAAGAACCTGAACCCGGTCCTTTTGGATCTGCATGCCCTGGGTTCTGCCACGCAGACTCCCAGCTCTGACTTCCTGGAGAGCTGCAACCTAGATGAGCCGGTGAAACTCATCAAGAAGATGGGCGGCCACCTGACTGACCTCCGCCCCAGTTGGGGGCTGGGCGAGGAGCTCTTCAAAAGGCTCACCCTTAAGCACAACTAACTTGGAGCCTCCGGAGCCCAGCAGCCTTTGAGGAGCCCCTCTGCATCACCCTGGTGTCAGGGCTTCTGCCTGAGCCTCTCTCTGCAGCCACTGGGCAGCTTTTTAACCCAAGCCCTGGACCAAATGGAAACAATTCGAAAAAAAAGTCTACGACCTAAGTCCCTTCGCTTTAGCATTCTTCAAAATGCCTGTGGCTGAACTGACTTCGCAAGCCCAGTCTGGTGTTCTCTGTCTGCCATATTGTATCCAGCCATGCTGTAAATTGCCATGTGTTCAGCAAATGTAAAATTAACAGAGAGAGAGAGAGTTGTTTGTATAATGCAGGCAATTCTGCCTGCCATTCCCCTCAATGAAGGGCTATGAATCTGCTGTTCCCGGTGGGTCTTGGTTCCCGCCTCCTTCTCATTGTGTAAGAACTAGTCAGGCTTTGTGTAGCTCTAGCACAGCCCTTAGACGCAGGCCAATCCTTTACCTGGGGCTCCACTGAAGAGACAATATTCTGTCCCAACACTAGAGGGGAAGCTGGTCTTGTTGCACTTAGTGAGAAATAGTGTCATGGTCTCTACCACGGCAACTTCTGACTGGATTTCCAGGGTCATTTGGATCATCCTCCCAGTCTTTAGAACCTGAGCCTGGGTGTGATGTGCTCTGCTGTGATCATTGCCAGCACAGGGTATGGGCTGCCAGGAAAGAAACCATTCGGAACAGCACATGTGTTCAATTACCCCTTGGTGAGCTCTCGCTGGAGCATCTTATGGGTAAGGGAGTGTGGAGAGAATGAAAACTTGAACAAACCTATACATCACTGGGCTATAAAAATCATTAAAATATTGACAGATTTAAAGGCTTAATGACCCAGCAAAGATGGGAAATACACTTAAATGCAGATCTCAGTCATTAAAAATACATTTTGCATGCCACATTTACCTCCCATGAAAATGGGGGGAAAATACATTTCGGGTGAGATTGCCACCACTCCCCGAGAGGGTGGGTTAGAAAAGTGAGTGACAGTTCTCATTGAGTGCCCAATGAGGTGAAAGCTCTCAGGAGCTCGGGTGGTCTTTCTGCGGAGGCTGGTGGCTCTGTCACCATCAAAGCTGCAGCCAATTCACCACCCCAGAGACTCCTGAAGTGTGCAAGATGCAGGCAGCACTTTCCCAAGAGACATCAGCTCACAGGGAAAGATGCCAGAAAGGGTCTGGCTTGGCAGAAGCATCAGGATGTAAGGCAGCTGGAGAAATGTATATGGCAAGACATACTTAGCAACTGGAGCAACTTACCAGAGACACCAAATTAGTCTCCTTCCAAAGCATGTTTCTTTTTTCTTACCAGAACTTAGTTTCCATGTTAGTTTGCTAGGGCTACTGTAACAAAGTACCAGAGACTGGTGGCTTAAACAACAGAAATTTATTTTCTCACTATAATGGAGGCTAGAAGTCCAAGGTCAAGGTGCGGGCAGGGTTGGTTTCCTCTGAGGCCTCTCTCCTTGCCTTGCAGACAACCGCCTTCTCCCTGTGTCTTCACATCATCTTCCTCTGCCTGTCAGTGGCCAGATCTCTTTTTATAAGGACACTAGTTGTGTTGGACTAGGGCCCATCCTAAAGACCTCATTTTAACTTAATTACCTCTTTAAAGACCCGGTTTCCAAACTGGTTGGTCACATTCTAAGGAACTAGGGGTTAGGACTTCAACATATAAATTTAGGGGGACACAAGTCAAACCATAACAGTTGCTAAATGATTATAATACCTCCAAAAGGAGGCTTGGGGAACGGTTGTTTTGTTTTACAAAGAAAAGTACAAGTTCATAGCGTATGGAGTGGCTTCTGCCTTTTTAAGTTATTTGATTCAGTGAAACTCCAACTCACAAGGACTCCCATTGGCAGGGACGTGAGGAGGAAATGGCCAGGCTGTTAGCCACGAACCAGTTTAGTGATCTTCAGCTAATAACACACCCCTCCCAAACCTCAATTTCCTCTTCTGTGAAACAAAGGAGTTAAGTGGGGAGCTGGATGTGGTGACTGGCACCCAACCCACTTCTTCGAGCTGTCCTGTGCGGTAGAGACAAGAAAGCAGAAAACTGCCCTTCTCAGATTCCTTTCCAGCTAGAGTTCCCCCCAGTAAGATGCTGTGGTATGAGACTGGCCGACAAAAATGAAGGGAGACCGCCTTCCTGTTGCTGTTTCTACCGGCCTGGCCAATCAATCGAATGGAAAGGAGGTGTGGAGGCTGGAGTTAGCATTCCAGCATCCCATGCCCAGGCTGCGGGCACCAGAACAGTTGTGGGGATGGGGCCGCAGCAGGGGAGTACCCTAGGAGTCTCTCCCGAAGACATGGTGGCAAAATATGAAAAACGTGCACAGGTGTGTTCACTGCTGCACTCTTGTAACAGCAAAGGACTAGTTACAACCCTAGTGGCCATGAATAGGAAACTGGTTGAATAAACTACTACTAAATATATCCACACACATGATGGAACGTTCTGCAGCTCTGTAAAGGAAGAAAAAATATTTCCAAACACTGCTATGGAGTCATCTTCAGGACGTACAGTTGAACGAAAAAAGCAAAGTGGACAAAAAGGTATACTGTTTAGAAAGTGGGATGGGGTGGGTAGCTATGTATATTTAAAAGAGATCCTGGAAAAATAAAAAAACAAAAAAGAAGGAGTCCTCAAGACCTCCCTTAATGCTAAAAATAGTGTGACTAAGATGTCAGGTCCTGACCTCTGGTAGCAAAAGTAGAAACAAAAGGAGAGCGGCCTGGCCTGTTTCTCCCACCCAGTTCAGGTGAGAGGTGAGAAGGAAGCCTGCGGGAGGAAAATGAGCATTGGCTGAGTGTCTGTCATTTATAGCACCTGGGCCAGGCACTGCAAATGTATTTTCTCCTTTAATCGTTTACAGTTTCACTTTGAGGTCGGTATTTTTATTACCCCCATTTTACAGATAAGGAAAGGAGAGCCAAGAGACGTTAAGCAACTTGACCAAATTCATGAAGCAAGTAAAGTGCCAGAAATAGGGCTTTACACCCAGGCCTTCGGGATCCCAGCTATAGATCCCAGCTAAGATCTCTTGCTGGGTCCTGGATGGAGTTCTTAGGCTGTGGCCACAGGGAGGTAATGCTTCCCTAGGACCCCGGTTTCTGTCTCCTTCCTTCATGCCCTCCCAGAGACAGGCACCAGGCCTGGCTGCAACGGAGGGTCCCGGGGAGGGAGGGAGTGCCTCTAAGACACTGGCTTTCAATTTGATTGCATATGAAAATCACCTGAGGTGCTTTCAAAATTACTGCTGCTGGGGTCCTACTCTCAGAGATTCTGATTTAATATGTATGGGTTGCAGCCTAGGCATGGGGTTTTTAGAAGCTCCCCAGGTAATCCTAATGTGCAGCAAAGTTTGAAAACCAGGGCTCTGAGCTCTTTCTGTTTTCACGTGTAGTAAGGTCCAGAATCATTAGCATCACCTGGGCGTGTGTTAGAACTGAGAGCTCTCTGGTCCCACACGGGACCTACTGAATCAGAAACTTGTGGGGAGGGGGCAGTGAAGGGAAGCGGGGAGTGAAGGGAAGGGGGCCAGTGATCTGTATTTTCACAAGCCTTCCACTCAATTCTCTGTGCCCTAAAGCTGGAGAATCACCGCTCTTAGCAGCAAGCTAGAGACAGATCCTCAGGCGCCATGGTTTGCTTTGTCAACTGTCACACAATCGCTATCTTATTACCAAGTAAGATAAATCTGATGGTCCCAGGCAATGAGACTGTCCGGGTTTTTCCCCCAAGACCAAAACTTCAAGGCATGTGAGAATGCTTTTAAATGAGATTTGGAATCAACTGGAACTCAGTGTAGCTTCTGAGCAGGGGAACAGCATTATCGAAATATGATGATGCTACTCAGCTACTGTGAACCAAAAGCTGCCAAAGGGAGTGTCAGCAGCTGAGGGAGAACATGGCCCTCAGGGACAGACAGACCAGGCTGGACGGCCGAGGTCACCCAGCACGTGGCAACCTCACCGGCCAAGGCCTCTCCACTTGAATGCTGTATTAATTTCTTAGGGCTGCTGTAACAAATTAATAAACTTCATGACTTAAAACAACAGACATCTATTCTTTCACTGCTCTGGAGGACAGGAGTCTGAAATCAAGGTATCGGCAGGGTTGGTTCCTCCTGGAAGGCTTAAGAGAGAATCTGTTCCATGCTTCTCTCCTGGCTTCTCATCACTGCGGGCAGCCCTTGGGGTTCCTTGGTTTGTAGACAAATTGCTCCAATCTCTGCCTCTGTCTTCACATGACCTTCCCCTCTGGGTCTCAAGTTTCCCCTCTCCTTTCTCTTATAAGGACCATTACTGGATTTAGGGAACACCCGAAGTCCAGGATGATCTTATCTCAAAATCCTTCACCTAGTCACATCTGCAAAGATTGTTTCCAAATAAGGTCACACTCACAGGTGTGTGTGTGGGGTGGCTAGGTTAGGATTTGAATGTGTCTTTGGGGGGCTGCAATTCAACCCACTACAAATGGGAAACAAATTCCGCTTTCTCACAGCAGCCTTCCCTAAGGCTGATTCTGAGCAGAGAGATTACCTGAGGAACCTCTGTTTCCCTCAGGGCAAACGTGGTGGGCCTGGAGTTCAGCACTACTGACTGTCTGCACAGAGTTCTCCATCAGACAGTTGCTTTCCTGCGAGCTCACCAAGGCCTTGTCGCAGAGCCGAGATCTCTCTGTGCTACTGTATAAAGGAGAAACTGAGGCTCAAGGACTTGCCAAGCTCCCAGAGCTAGGAAGGGGTGGTCCCCCAACTCTAACTACGCTGCCCCTTCTGTTGGCATCAGCTGCTGTCAGGAGTCGTGACTTAGCCCGATGGTCTTCAGCAAAGTGGGGGGCTGGGGATTTCTTACCTGAGACCAGTGGTGTAATCAAGATCCAGCCTTGGGACTTCCCTGGCGGTCCAGCAGTTAAAAGACTCTGCCCTTCCACTGTAGGGGGCGCAGGTTCGGTCCCTGTCCAGGAACTAAGATCCCACGTGCCCCGCGGTATGGCCAAAAAGTTAAAAAAAAAAAAAAGATTCAGCCTCGTGCCAGCCAGCTTATCACCAGAAGCTCCTGGCAGATGGTCTGGTCACTTCTTTCTCTCTCTCAGTTTCCCATGACCTCCTTCAATGCCAGTTCTACAAACACAGAGAGCCTTGTGCCTGTCAGGCCCTTGGCCTCTGGGAGGAACTCAGTAAATGTGAATAGAATGATTTTTCTGTTTGTTTTTGGCTCTAGCTCAGCAGGAAACCTGTTTGATATAATAGTCGAATAAAATACACCTATTTCCATGAACTTAACCATCCAGGGAACCCACAGACACACTCTGATGTACAGTGAAGCAGAAGCAGTGGGTCTGACACCAGTCTCCCTGCTCTTGTCAACTCAAAAATGGATGAAAATCTCTAACCAAGCACCCAGGAGACTGGCGTGGGTGCTGTTAACTTCAGGTCTAATTTTCCATGGGTTCCACGTGGTCTGGTCAGGGATGTGTCAGCTTCATCCTTAGGGCCTTCATTACTGAGCCCAGCAGTCTCAGGTTTGCTTGCTCACCTTAGGCACGGCTGCTGCAGCCTCTTCTAAGAATTCAGAGTCACATGCGGCCTGAACGACCCCAGCCTCTCCCAGCTCAGGACTCCTGCCTTCCTGTCCTCCGTTGCCAGCTCTCAGCCCTTGGGTTTCCAGCCATCAGCATGACTATCCCACCATCACGTTGAACTCTGCAATTAAAAATTCAATCTATCTTCCCCTTCTGAATAGTTCCCCTTTCTAACTTTTTCCATCTGCTTAATGACACCAACTGGAAAGCAGACGTCACTGCTCGGCCCTCTCCTCCCCTCTCTCCACTATGGTCAATCTCCTACCACAAGACAAGAGGTGGGTAGACAAGAAAGGGAACAAACATTTTTGAGCACTCACCACGATGAGATAGACCAAGGGCTGGATGCTAACTCATGGTTCTTCTCAATAATCCAGTGAGGTGGGGACAGTGTTACTGTTCTAATTTCACAGGTGAAAAACTGAGGTTCAGAACGATTTGGGGCCACGCAGCTGTGAGGTAGAGATCAGACCCAGCCCGTGCTCTTTGCACTCTGCAGTGATGCTCAGCCTGATTTATGCTTTCTTTGGTGACGCCCTAACTGCTGCTTCTCTCCTGCTTTTGCCAGCGCTGCCTAGTCCAGGCCTTTACCATCTCCTTCCTGAATGGCAGAAACAGCTTCCCAGCTATTCTCTGCAACTACTCTTTTCTGCAACAATCTGCCTGTGTCCAACGCTTTCTATTTCTTTCATGTCTCCCACAGTGCCTGGCCCAGGAGTGGATGTGGGGTAGACACTCAGCATATCTTGTAATAGAATGCTCTGGGCCTGGTGCAACAGGAAACTTATTTTCTAGCATCTAAATATGAGTTTTGATTAGGCTAGGCACCACCTGCTGGTACCCTGAGAGGTGCAGACTAGGTTAGTAATGCAGGTGACTTGTTACCATTCTTAGTAATGAAGGATGAGGATGGAACTTACACGGAACAGTATGGAGATTCCTTAAAAAACTGAAAATGGAGTTGCTGTATGATCCAGCAATCCCACTCCTGGGCATATATCCAGAGAAAAACTCTAATTTGAAAAGATACATGTACCCCAATGTTCACAGCAGCACTATTTACACTAGCCAAGACATGGAAGCAACCTAAATATCCATCAACAGATGAACGTATAAAGAAGGTGTGATATATGAATATACAATGGAATATTACTCAGCCGTAAAAAGGAATGAAATAACGCCATTTGCAGCAACATGGATGGACCTAGAGAGTATCATACTAAGTGAAGTAAGTCAGACAGAGAAAGACAAACATATGATATCATTTATATGTGGAATCTAAAAAAAATGATACAAATGAACTTATTAATGAAATAGAAATAGACTCACAGACATAGAACACAAACATGGTTATCAAAGGGAAAGGGGGGAGATAATTAGAAGTTTGTGATTAACATATAAACAATACTATATATAAAATAGATAAACAATAAGGATCTACTATATAGCACAGGAAACTGTATTCAATATCTTGTAATAACCTGTAATGGAAAAGGATCTGGAAAAGAATATATGTGTGTGTGTGTGTGTGTGTGTGTGTGTGTGTGTGTGTGTATGTGTGTGTGTATATATATATATATATACACTGAATCACTTTGCTGTACACCTGAAACTAACAAACATTGTAAATTAACTATACTTCAATTTAAAAAATGGTTAAAAAAAAAGATGTACATTTCAGAGAGGAATGGATTTTATAGAGATGAGTTCTATGTGCTTATCTGATGTAATCAGGAACGTGTACAAGCTTGCATCATATATATTCCCTTTACCAACCTGGGTGTAGACAGAAGAGTATGGTGTTAGGAGGTCCCAGTGAAATATGGTAAATATCCTGCACTGGTGACCACTTGCCAGTTACCAGACACGAAAACCACACCTGATCCTTCTTCTTTGCATGAGAGTGTCACTGCCGGGGTCCACCCTGCTGACCACTAAGCAATTAAAAATATTTTGATAAATGAGCCCATTCCATTTCCTATTACTATTCACCATCATCTGACTTACCTGTCATACCACACAGCAAAGCTGTATTTTATATGAAAGTCTAGTCAAGTAACAAGGGTGCTAGACCCAGCCTTTCAAATTCCTTCTCACTGAGAGCAAGTTGGTACAAACTTTTTGTAGGATAATTTGGAAACAGTGATTAAAATTTAATTACAAATATCTTTTGACCTAACAGTTCCACTCCTAGGATTCCCCCCCAACCCCAGCCCCATGGATAATAATGACAACAAAACCAAGCCAAAACAAAAATACACCCGTGTGTATAAACATTTCTTTCAGCATTATTTGTAAGAGCATAGAATTAGACACAATTACAATGTTCTTTAATAGATGATGGTTAAATAAATTCTGATACATCCAAAAATGAAATTTTATGACGTCATGAGAAAGAATGAGGTAAATTTTTACGTGATAATATTGAATAAGGAATGTGCTACGAGACACGTTAAGTGTAAAAGGTGCAGAGGAGTGGGTATAGAGCGTATAGCAGGTGTAGTATGTAGTATGCCTCCTTGTGCGTAAAAAGGATACCAAAGCATTCACTTATTCAAATTAAATTACTGGTAAGTGCCTCTTTCTCCATGCATTTACTTCTATTGAGTTTATTATAGATTTCTGAAGACTTATCATGTAACTTACCTTGTTCTAAGAAGCCCTAGTGCCATCATCTCTGAATCAAAATGATGAGAAAGGAGATTAAGATCTAGGTGTCTCCTTATACCCCCAGGGAAAAAATGGAATAGATTGGGTCTCATCGCATCTCTTCATTAGCCTCCTCACTGAAATATCCTGCTCCTTTTAAGCTGGTATTGGTGGGTTCTTGGGGATGGGTTCATGTAAAGCGTCCTTTTGAAAAATCTATACTACTGAGCCTGGTACTGGTCTCTTAAGCCATTTGTGGAAATGAAAAGCAGAGCTGGGTTCTGATTTTCATCCAGCAGTGTAAAGTAAGGGGTGAATACTGGAGATTATATATAAAAAAAATCCCCACCTATGTTTCCAGGGAATTTCCAGACCAACAGTATGGTGGAGGCAGCTGGACGAGAGCATTAGGGACCACAGGATTCAGCTCCATACATTTAACCTTGGAATAGTAATGTGATGAAAACTATATGCTCATAAGGAATGTCAGAATAGTTCCTGGTGTCTTGGGTTTGGTACTTTAACTCTCTCAAGGCAGTAGAATATAGTGGGTAAGAGCAAGGCTCTGCAGCCAGATTCCAAGGTTTGGAACTGGTGATGCCATTTATTAGCTACTTGACCTTGAATAAGTTACTCTCTGGTCTTAGTTTTCTAATCTATAAAATGGGCATAATTCTAGCACCTATTGCCTAAGGTTTTCATGATGATTAGAAAAGTAAACACAGGCAAAATACATACCAAGTACTTAACCAATGTTACTACATCCTTAAAAGCTAATCTATTTCAGAAAAAATCATATTTCTGCACAGTAAGCATTAAAACCTTCAAACTCCTCGCTGCCCGGTCCCCTATCCAAGCTCCCCGAGGCCATGAACTAAAATAACAGACTTGATCTTTGTCTCCTAAATTCAACAGAGCAGTTATTCCTAAGCAGTGTTGTCTACTGCAATGCAAATTAATGTAAATTATTCACTTTATCTCAAAATCATTTTAGAATCCCACAGTCATTAATTTCAAACCCAGACTTGCCTTTGTACACAATTATTAGTTCTTCTCTCAGGAGTCGGGACTGTAGCACTTTCATTCATTTACAAAAAGTTTAGGTGCCCGCCTTGGTGGTGGTGGTGATAGCAGTGGTGGTGTCTGAAAGAGTCCAACAGAGCACTTGAGTTGATGTGTTAGAAATTCCCATTTGCTGCTGCAGAAAAGAGATACCATCTCAATGGAGTTTCTAGGCTGAGTGTGTGGAAGTTTCCCTACCTTGGTGGCAGGACTGGGGGATCCAGAAAAGGAGGTGGGATCCTGAGCAAGCCCTCACCTGTCTGGACCTGAGTTTCATCATCTCTAAAACAAAGAGATTGAATTAAATAGTGTAGTGGTTCTTTCCAGTCCGAAGACCCTACGTAGATATGAACTCTGCCTTAGGAATCTGGGCTCTTTTTTTTTAAACTATACTAAAATACTCCCCTCTGACCCCCAAATTGCCACCACACACCTAAATACACAAACACGGTGAAATAATAATGAAAGCTCCCATGTATTGAGTGCTAAGTGCCAAGTGCTTTATATACATCATTACACGACAGCTCACAATAAACTTCTGAGGTAGCTATTAAGTTTTCAGAAACCCAGAGAGGCCACGGTGAAGGCCAAAGTGGGAGCCTAGATTCTTCTCTGTAAAAGAGGAACCTGAGCTGGATGACTGAGGTCCCTTCCAGCTCTAGACCATTCTATATGTCTAGATTCATTGCATTCTCAAGCCTTCCAAGTTAGCCACACTTGAGGTGGTAGTCCTAGGACTGGGCAATTCCTGTGGGGCTCTTCCTGAGGTACAAAGTGTGAAACGGCACCATCACCCTTGGATTTCTACTTTTCGAGTCTGTTTTGTGTAGGCCGTGCTGGTTTTACGAAGCAGCACAAAAGGAGATCTCGTAGGGCCCTTGAGAGCCTCTACGGCGGACAGAGATGCTGTACATTTGATTCCAAACCGCCTCCCTTCCTCTCAAAAACTCAGCCCCCTCCAGTTTCACTCAGGAGAGAGATTCCGCTGACTTCTCCTCCTGTGGGTTTTCAGCTTGTGTCAGGCCGCTGGGCAAGGCTGAACCAGAGCTCAGAGTGATGTGACCTCACTTTCGGTGTCTGGTTTCAAAGCACATAATTTAAGTCTCTGATTCTACTGCAGCTGTACGTTTTCTGAGCCTTTATCTTCCATCCCTGCCTTAAGCATTTCGGTCTACCCAGCTAAGCTCCCTCTCTCTCCCTCACATACATATTCTCATTCATTCTTGATCTCTTTGAAAATATTTCATAGTGGAAAATAAACACATCAAAATTAAGATGGTTCCCTGTGACAAGAAAGCATACACAGAAGTGAAACCAGAGTTCTTAAAACCTCAGTCGTTAAGAAATGTCTTTGGAACCATCCTCCTCTTTACAGGGCTGAGAGCTACAATAAATAGAACTCATCAGAGACTCAGACATACTCAGAATGAGAAACGCACACATTATTACGAGCAGCTGCATTCGTCTGAGTTCTTGGAGGGGTGTGGGGGAAGACTGCATTCATTCACTGCTCTGGAAAAGCTTGATGCCATCAGCACCCAAAGGAGCAAGTTCCCAGCGCCGAGTGTGGTACCCACCAGACAGGAGCATCCACAACAGCGGGTCTAGCCTCTCCAGGGAGCTGGGGGCACTGGGCCTCCTTACCCCACAGCTGGGGCAGCAAGGGGCCGGACACAACCTGTCAGAGGTGGGCGGGGCCCTGTGGGAGGACTTCCTGAGCAGCTCCCCACCCTGCCCGTTTCCCCCTCCTCCCCCCACTCCCCCCCCAAATCCTCCAAAGAAAAGAGTTAAGAGCCCAAAGTCTGTGGCCTGCCCTGGGGGTTGGAGAGGGGCAGGGCCCAACCAGGCACCTGCGGTCCCTTCGTCAGGCCCTCAGGGACTAAAATCCTGCCATCTGCGAAAGGAAGGCACTACTTTATTTCCAGTTGGGCCATTCCCTGGGTGGGGCTTTCCTTTTGGATGGTTTTTTAGCAAAGAGAAATACAGAACACCCAGCTAAATTTGAATTTCAGATAACAAGTATGTTTTTGCATACATATGTCCCCAGTACTGCAAGGGGCATGCTTATACTAAAACATTTTTTTGTTATTTATCTGAAATTCAAATAGAACTGGGTGCCCTGTATTTTATCTGGCAACCATACCCCTTTACAGTCTTCACAGGGAGTGTTTTTTCTTGCTATGTGCTCTCAAGCAGGTATTTGTTCAGTTCTGAGTCTCCTGGGATTCCTGATGAAAAAGCAGAAACTTC